TCTGACTGTAAACATGTTTCCATTTGTCACTTCAGTCTTTACTCACAAAATGTTTAGTAACTTCAGATCCCTGCCACAAGCCCAGGTCCTGTTTACTTTGGTGATTTGGACTATTCCATTTCACAGCTGTTGTTAATTTTTTCCCCTCCTGTACAGGCCAACGCAATCTACTTGTCGTTTCAGGTTGTAGTATTACACAACATTTTCAGATCTAATAGAAAAATGAGTGTTTTGTAATTCATTCAATTCATTGTCTTTATTTATAACTGGCATTATTGTTTCATTCTATTATAGAATCTTACAAGAAAGAGGCTAAATTGTATTCCATTGTGCTTTATTAGCTGCTTCGGTAAAAAACAAATAAACACTGAAAAAAAAACATCAAAACAAGATACTGGAAAACAGTTATTCATCACTTGATTGCTGTAATACAACACTTGGGCACATATATGTGGGACGTTTCGTGGCTGTTTTGATATTGCTCTCTCTCTTAACCGATCAAATCTCGCTGTGGAAGCAGCTTTAAACTCGGTATGACGAAGGTTGATAGAGGGTGCCCAGTCTGGATCGCATTCCAGCATTTTGTAGGCTGGTTTTCCTACAAAACACAACAAATATTAGCCCGCAAAGCCACAGTGAACAAAGCAGCATAGCGCAACAAATTCAATTCAAATCAATATAAGACTTATTTGTAATTAATTATGTTATGATAACTTACATAATAACTACATGTGAGCTGGATTGTTCTGAAACGTTATATTTGGTCTTCGAATGGCTGCAATCCAGGCCATCCGTCGGCTCTTTGTTACTTCGGAAACATGGCTTGAACAATTTCTTTTTCACAACGTAATGCGATAACAACCGATCTCTTTACCCATCGGCTTCCCATGGCTGTCATGTGACTGGCTATTGCAGTTAATAATACAACAGCTTCTTGACATTATTTGTGTTGCTTTTTATCGCTGTGTGACTGTTTTCATGTGAAAGCCTGCATGCGCTAGTACCTCTTGCCACTCATACCCACAATCCTTTGCGGTTTTACCCCAGAATGATGTCATATTTTCAATCTCTATAAAGGAAATGAAATCACTGCTAAAACTATTTCTTGGTTTAACATTTTAAATGTTTATTTTATATTTGCTAGACTTCATAACACAAACAATGTGAACAAAATAACATCTGCAGAACACATGGATCAAAATACATTAAAGAAAAACTTGATAACATGAAAACAGATTTCTTCACCCAACTGCTGGAACAAAGCGAACCACTCAACATGAACACTGAAGCAGAACAGTGTTCTTAAAAAGCTTAAAATGTAAGTAACAGAACATTTTCATTCATAGATGCCTCAACAGATCTTTACAGGAGATTCTATCTGAACTCTGTGGAGCCTGATCTCAAGGGTTTTGAGTCTGACCTTGTTAGAGTTGATGCATGTTGATTGTTTAAAAGGTCATGCCCTAAATGAAGTGACTGGAGATGTAGTTGAGAGGTCACCACCATGTACAGTGTCTGTGTGGTTGCTTTCAGTAACCATTTCTGCCTTGACCAGCAGGGTTGACTTAAATCCAACAGACCCTGAAACCAGAAGAGGATCTTTCTGTCTCTGCAGATTCACTGTGATGGGAGTGATTTCAGCCCTGAGTGATTACGCTGATGTTTGCACAGAGCAGATGATTTAGTGAATGTTTTGGGACATTGGTAACAGTGAAACAGTTTATTAGTAACGTGGGATCGTTTGTGTGTGGAGTATGAACTGAGATTCCTGAAGCTCTTCTCACACTGATCACAGCTGTAGTTTCCTTCCATGTGTGTACGTTCATGCTTGTTACAATGACATGGGCGTGAGAAGCTTTTGTCACAGTGTCTGCACTTGTACGGTTTCTCTCCTGTGTGGCCTCGTTTGTGTGTTTTAAGCTCACTTGCAGTGGTGAAGGATGACCCACACTGATCACAGAGGTGCTTTTTAACCCCACTGTGAATCAGTTCATGGCGTTTTAATCTACTTGATGTGGTGAAACTTCCCCCACATTCTTTGCAGTATTTCAGTTTGTCTCCGGTGTGTTTACGTTGATGTGTTTTTAGGTTTTTTTTATGGCTGAAAGTTTTTCCACAAAGGTCACAGAGAAACTCTTTCCAACCACCACAGTGATAACAGTGTTGAGAACTGGATCCATCTGTGTCGCTCTGCTTCTGAACAAAGACACAAAGACAGTGTAAGTCAGTCCTTCATCATTTTTGTCCTGAATGTCGCCTGAAATAAAGAGCATCTCTGCAGACGTCCAATTACATTTTACTGTTTCAGTTAACACACTCAGTTTACTGGGCTGCAATAACTACAATACTACCATCATAATACTACATTAATACTGATACTACTAATATGTTACAATAACATCTGACTTCCACTAAAGTACTACTATGCTAATATCTGAAGGGTACCAACACAGTGCAAAACTACTAATGTAACACTGCAATAATGCTAATTTAATACTGCATTAATAACACTGTAACTGTGTAGTTATAACACTCAGCTGAATGGGACACAAGAAAAACACTACTACCCCCATTACAATGCAGTTATAACATTAAATGAGTATTTTAACACTACTACTATACTACAATACTATTACGTAACAACACAACTTTGTTAATCACAAGAGAAGATTACTGAATGTTTGGTTTTGTACTTATTTTCATTTGTGTTTTATTTTATTACATGTACTCCTAACAGAGGAATCAGGCTCTGTAAACAAAAGGCCATTTATGCGGAAACAATAACAATATCATGATATACCAGGAAACTGCCTGAACATTAAATAACACCATCATATTAATTTTCAGCACTTTTAGTTTTTCATGATTGTGTAAACAAAAATCATAACTGAAATGAAAATCTGAATAATCACTCAGAGCTGCTTTTCCATGCAGTAGAATTGCTAACATGCTAACACAGTTTAATGAGCAGAGTTGTTCTAAACAGTCAGGCTAAAATGACAAAATACAAATATAAATACATACCTCACAAAAACTGCACTTGTAGAGTCTCTTTCTGGTGTGGATCTGTTGGTGTTCTCTCAGGTAACGTGGAGCTTTAAAAGTCTTCTCACACAGGTCGCATTTATAAGGTCTCCCCTCAGTGTGGGTAAACACGTGGCGTTGTAACAATGTGTTGTTTATAAACTGTTTGCCACATTGATCACAGCTGTACACTTTAACTCCACTGTGGATGAGTTGGTGTCTTTTTAGGGCACTCTTCCAGGAAAAAGACTTTCCACACAAGTCACAGCTGAATGGTCTCTCTCCAGTGTGGATGACCTGATGACGTTTTAGTTTAGCCTGCCCAGTAAAACCCATCCCACACTCGTCACAGGTGTGTTTTTTCTCTCTCATTCTTCTGTGAGGTTTGTCGGCCTCCTGAGAGTGCTGACTTCTCGCTCCATGTTGGTCCTGCAGTGACAGAGATACAAACAGAGGCAGTGAGTGAAATGCAGTCGTGGAACAAACT